TAGTCCTACGTCAAAAATCTATACAACTCTCTAATAAGGAAAATCCCAAAGGCTTGGTAGCCATCTTAATGAAGTAATGAAATTGGGTTGTTAGCGGAATGCTTGAATAAAACAGCAAAAAAGGGTTATCTTCCATTTAATTCCACTTAATTAATGTGCAGTCTTCATCAGTGTCATTCCCACTAAAGAACTAGCCCCCTTATCGTAGGTAAAAAAAAGTCAAGATCACAGGTATAAAAATGAAACTTCAATGTGTTGAATCGGAACCTACCTAACTAATAACATAGCCAAAGATTTAAGTAAAGTAAAGGAGAAAAAATCTATACAACTCTCTAATAAGGAAAATCCCAAAGGCTTGGTAGCCATCATAATGAAGTAATGAAATTGGGTTGTTTCAGCAAAACATTTTACTGAAATGGGTTCAGCATAATAATATTTTACAAGAATTCAGAATTAGTATTTTTGGCATTGTCGACATCCAGCAAACAGATGAATGTCAGAGTAACACGCTGAGGACGACAGAGGATTTCTGCCTCTCAATGCTGCATCAGAACAGGAACTCGCTGTAGTGGAGTCCATACTGTCTGCTGGATTGAAGCAAATCAACGATCTGGTGAACACGAATGGTATGCTTCTTGACCTGGTCCTCGTCAGTGACTCCGATTGCATCGAGCTGTTTGAACCACCCTCTGCAATTATGAAAGTTGATTGTCACCGCAAGCCGTTGGTTCTAAAAGTTGACTCCCGTTCGGGAGATCATCCGAGAGATCATACTTAACCAACCCACCATTGCTGCCGCCGTCTCCGTATTCTACGACAACATCTATAAAGTAATCCAAGATACTGTTCCGGTGAAGACACGAAAATCTTGTTTGCAATTCCAACAACCTTGGTGGAATCCACAATTGCGTAATCTGCGTAACCGTCTGCGTAAAGCTCGAAAACGTTACTTTCGTTCCCGGACCGCACCAAACAAGTATACGGTGCAGCTAGTAGAAGCTGAGTATAATAGTTTGCAGGAAGCTCGCTTTCGTGAGTACGTCGACAACCTCCAGAGGGGTTTCAAGGAAAATCCATCGTCGTTTTGGTCTTTTATCAACTCTCGGAAAAGATCAGCTGGTATTCCCGTGGACGTCACCTACGGTAGTAGAAGCTCCACCACCGACACCGCTTCTGCTGACCTTTCCGCTGACTTTTTTCAAAGTGTTTTCGAACCCGATCAAACTCCTCCACCGCAGCAATACATTGATCAGCTACCAAGATACGACATTCACCTGCAGCAGCTCATCTTCAGTCAAGACGCTATTCTCAAAGCCCCTTTCTCAGTCGATCGATCGAAAGGTCCAGGCCCGGACCGTATTCCACCGTCTTTCGTCAAGAACTGTGCAGCATCGTTGGCCACTCCCGTTATGTCTATTTTCAATCAATCGCTTAAGGATGGCGTTTTTTCGGATGCCTGGAAGGTCGCCTCAATTACACCAATCTTCAAGTCCGGTAACATGCACAAAGTGGAAAATTACCGACCTATCTCGATCCTGAACTGCTTGGCCAAAGTTCTCGATAGTCTTCTGCATGAGAAGTTGTATCCAGCTGTTCAACCCATAATCTCAGAGTTTCAGCATGAAAAAGCATTCGACAGCCTCTAACTTGATGACTTACACGAACACTCTTATAGGTAGCATCGAGAAGCGTCAGCATCTAAGGCTTTTGACAAAGTCCCTCACGACCTAGCCATTATGAAGCTAAGCCGCCTTGGTCTTCCACCGTGGCTCGTTTGTTGGTTGAAATCATACTTATCACCCAGGAAGGCTTTCGTTAAGGTACGTGATTCCAGATCCGAGGTATTCCATATACCAGCGGGGGTTCCACAAGGGAGTCACCTAGGACCTCTCATTTTCGTTCTGTTTATTAACGACGTGTGTGATATGCTAAGTTCCTGTAAGTTGCTATATGCGGATGATCTTAAGCTGTACCGTGTGATCAAATCGATCGTGGATTGTTGCGCACTAGAAGCTGATAGAGCGATTGTCATCCTGGTGTCAGATGAATGGAATGCAAGCCAATGCTGCCAAATGCAAAGTTATTACCCTTACCCGCTCTCACTCTCCGATCATTTTTGATTACTCTATGAATCAATCGCCGCTGGAAAGGGTTAATGCCATTAAGGATCTTGGGCTCATCTTGGACAACAAATTAAGGTTTAACGAGCAGTTGCAAAGGCCAACTCCATACTAGGATTTTTGCGCTGCAATTCTGCACAATTCGACGACGTGTACGCCCTGAAAACGCAGTATTGCTCTATGGTCCGCAGTGTTCTTGGGCTCCATATCATGCTGTTCATGTACTGCGCATCGAGAGAGTCCAGAAATAGTTTATAAAGTTTGCATTACGACGTCTGCCATGGACAAATCCAGATAGCTCACCTCCGTACGAGCATAGATGTGCGCCTATTGGACTGCAAACACTAACAAATCGCCGAGTCTTTCTCCAGAGGATGTTCATATTTGACATGATTAGCAATCATATTGACTGCAGTTGTTTGCTCGGGAACATCAATTTTCACACTCCAGCTCGCCGTCTCCGCAACTATTACTTTCTGTGGACTCCCGGACATCGTACTGCTTACGGTTATAACAATCCTCTCGATAGATGTTGCAGACTGTTTAATGATGTGTGGGATATTTTTGATTTTAATATAAGTAGACCAGATTTTTAGAATAGGATTAAGTCATTTTAAACAGTCTGTATGGCTAACATTTCAAAGATGCTGGTTAAATAAATAAATAAATTTGCTGATAATCAGAAAACCGAACTTCCTGTCTACTTAAATGACAGTCGGGAAAAGCTTGCAAACACTATCTACTTCAAATTTAATTTTTCATTGACGTTTTTTCGGTGCCGTGCTTCCAGATATATTATTAGGTTCCGTGTATACATGGATCCAGCAATGAAAATTTAAGCGATAGACAACTGGGATGCCGAAAAATGGTTTTGTAAGTTGATTTTAGCTAAAAAATTATGTTTTTGCATGCGCTGAAGCATTTTTTTGCAAGCATATAATTGGAGGATAGCAGGAAAGTTGATTTTCTTGCACATGTGAAATTGCCCCACGGATAAAAAAGTACTGTGAAATTTACTAATTGCCAATGAATAAAATTATGATTAGCTGTAAGGTACTTTTAAACGTGTTTTTTTGTGTGATTAAGACTAAAAAAAATAATACAATAATTTGACAGCTGGTTCTGAACTATGAATCTGAAGAATCAGTAGAAATGGATACAAATTAATTTACTGTTATTTCAGTAACATTTCGTTGAAGTTTGCTGGAAAACCAGTTCAAGCTGTCATTTACATTTGTGTTGCTGCTTCAGCAATTCATAACAGATTTACTGAAAAATCAGTAAAAAGTTGGCATTTTGACAGAAGTTCGAATTACTGGAACTTTCAGCAACATTATTTTGCTGGAAGGTTTGCTGATCTTTCGTTAAGCCCAAAATCAGCAAATTTTTGCTGATTTCCAGTGATTTAAATTTGGTGTGTAGTCATCTTGCTAGAGCTAATCACAGACGGACATCGATTGTCATCCATTGACGGCAATCGAATGTGCAGGAAGGCAGCTTCCACATCTGCATACACACTTAGAAAAATTCATGTAAATTTAAGTGTTCTGAGACTGACATATGCATGCGTCAGTTTTGACATAAAATTGAGTGATAATAGACGCGAAATTTAGCTTAATCAAACGTACTTCGAGTACCGAACTTTTCAGTCTCGGGTTACGTCTCACCCATTATGTCAAAGATGGATTCCGTCACGTGCAAAATTAGGTATTTCTTAGTGTGTAGAATAACCGTAGTTAAGTGTTGTTGTATTCGCTGATTTGTCGCAGATCCCGCCTCTCAAACAAACAAAATTCAGGTCGCTCAGAATAGAGTGCTGATCCTTGATCGTCCCTTCGACACAAGAATTTCAGACCTCCACCAAGAGACGAGCGTCTAAAAATTAGATTTGAAAAATTTATGACATCAGACTAGGTTTGTGAAGCAGTGTAACACATCAGAACATGCTTTGATAAGCAATTTGTATATCTGGATCAACAATAGAAAAGGGCCCATCAGCATTTGTAAACAACCCGTTCTAAAGCCCTTTCCTCAGAAAACGAAGGCCGCCCACGCAAACCAACATCATCATTGGATAGGAGAAAGTTTCCGCTATACGATGATGGTGTTGGTGTGCGTGGGTGGCGTTTGGTTTGTGAGGAAAGCGCTTTAGAACTGTTTGTTTACAAATTCTGATGGGCCCTTTTCTATTGTTAATCCAGATATAGTAGGTTAGTTGAAGTGGGGCCTTCCTTAGCCCAGTCGGTAAAGGCACAGCTACAAAGCAAGACCATGCTGGAGGTGACTGGGTTCGATTCCCGGTCCGGTCTAGAAATTTTCCGGGTTGGAAAATTTCTCGGCTTCACTGGGCATAGAAGTAGGATTGGACTTGCCACACAATTATACCAATGCAAAAATGGTACAGGCATCGAAAGCTCTCAATTAATAACTGTGGAAGTGCATCCAGAACACTAGTTGAGAGCACGCAATAAGCTTGTAAATAGCAGTTATTAGAAGTCTCTTTTTTCCAATTTCAAATAAAGCAAGACGGATAACTGTATCAAAATACAAAACATACTGAATGTTATGAATGAATATTTTCGTATAAAAACCATCACGTAACGATTTTCTTACCACAGTGCATTTGTGGAAACAAACTTTGTTCGCAAATTTAGTTAACATGAAAATTGCAAAATTATTTAAAATCCTTCCGATGACCGCATAACATAATGTGTACATGCGGTAAATCATTGCAGATTTATTGGACATTACATAATCAGTTTTACCGAACATTCAAAATGTGTTTTTTGAGTTTGATTTTTTTTTTGTAAGATTTCCCTTTAAGATGATTTTGATAAGAAACGGAAGCTTCGCAATTCTAACGCTGAACACTCATTACAGGTTTGGTTCCAAAACCGCCGTGCAAAGTGGAGAAAGCAAGCTAGACTACAGCTATTGCAGGACGCATGGCGAATGCGCTGCTTGGGCATCAGTTCCCCACAATTAATAGTTGGTAAGTGCTTACTGTCCCGCCGCATCTTCACGTTCACTTGCACGCTGTAATCATTGCAGATCCGCAAAATCCTGCATCAGCCAACAACAATAACCCTCCCGGCAAGAAAGTCGATGGTTCGGGATCTCCTCCCAAGGAACCGGAGTTTACCTTGATGCATCCGGCGTTTCAAGGTCCGAACGGAACATCCAACAGCTCGATTGACACCACAGCCAAACGAAGCGATTCTAGTCATCCACTGTACCCATCTAGTCAAACCATTCCAGCGGGAATACAAAGTTCCCCTCCAACTCGCGACGATCGCCAGATGTACTCTCTGGGCCATGCTGCCGCTGGTGTTTCGAATCACCCCGAAGACTCCAACAGCAGCGATCTATCGGACGGATCGGAAGAGATTGATCTCACTACCAACGGTGGCTGTATTGACTATTCCAATAGCGGAGCAAATAGAAACTAAATTTAATTCATACTGTACATAGATTTTCTGGAAGCCAAAGCACTCATGTGAACTCAAACTAGTCATAGTCTTGGAGACATTCTATTTAAACAGATTTAAATACAAGCTCTCGTTCGTCATTTCTCCAAACTACACAGATGGCTGGATGTGTGGTGTATTTTATTTTTGTTTTACAAATCGTATTCCATCTGCTTTCTCCAGTTAATCGCTCTGATTGGATGAAATACTCCCTCTCCCTCGGCGTTACGCCCCCGCACTGGCCTAATTATTCTGCCCCATTTCAAGGATGAATGTGAAAGCGCGGTTATGATGATAAATCGCACAGTGAATGAATAATTTTTAGGAACGTGGTCAAAATTTGGCGGTACGATTATCGGATTCAGATTTCCTTAGTCAATTGAAGCTGATCAAGTTCGATAGAAGCTCGCATTCAAAACAGCTATTGGTAATAATTACAACTGAGGAATGCCTATTTTGGTCGATCGCATATGGCACATTTGTGCTGACGAGTGATGATGACAACATCGTCAACTACAATAATCGCTTGGAGGGACGCCCGTTGTGATGAATGTGTAAAACTATCGCCGTTTTTTTTTTCGCGTAACCAGCTGGTGCAGTAGAATTTTCTCACCCAGCACGAGTTTGCAAACGATAGCGCGTTTGTGTACTCGGTGGTGGTCGGTTGATTATATTTCAGTCAGTTTAATTCTACGCTACAATGCGGACAGACACTCCGAAAACGCGTTCCCCACTGCTGCTGCTGATGTCAGCCACAATTTTGGTGATTGTCACTAGTTTAGCAAAGCTTACTTACGGTGATAGTGCTTCCTTGTACAAGTATCGATGCGCGAATGGCAAATGTTCCAGACAGCACAAGGATTCGTTAAATTCCAGCGAATCGTATTTGGATAGCCTGAATGAGTGCCGGTTGGTATGTGGCGAGTATAGAGCACTGTGGCCCATTCCAGCCGTTATACTGAACCTGGGACAGGAAACAAGAGAATTCGTTCCCAGTGATATCGAGTTCGACTTCCACGCTAGTCCTGGCGATATTGAAGTGCAAAAGTTTCTGAATGAAACGAGCAAAATTTTTCTGAAAAATTTATACAAAGAATGTGGTAGACACTGCAATCGTACAACCAACACTAGAATATATTTTGCAATTAACGTTGAAACGGGAGAAACCAGTCTGACATGGTCAACGGATGAATCGTACGATCTCTTCGTTGATGATCATGATGGATTGCTTGAAATATCCATAGTGGCGAGAACAATTTTCGGCGCTCGGCACGGAATTGAATCGGTGAGTCAACTTACAGCTGTGAGGAATTATCCCGAAGGGGACTGCTTACTGCTCTTGACCGCGGTAAATGTCAAAGACTACCCGTACTATCCGCATCGGGGTTTCCTGTTGGACACGGCGAGAAATTTCATATCAACCAGAGCTATCAAACGTCAGCTAGATGGAATGGCATCGACCAAGTTGAATGTGTTACATTGGCACATCACAGATTCGCAGAGCTTCCCACTGCAGTTGGTCAATCTGCCACAAGTAACAGAGTTCGGTGCCTACTCCGAGAAGCAGATCTACTCCCAAAAGGATGTGCAGGATATCTTCGAGTATGCAAAGTATCGAGGGATTCGAGTGATTTTGGAATTTGACGCACCCGCCCATGCCGGTAAGGAATGACGGATATTTTTTTTTTATGTTTGTCTATGAAAGTGAAGTGTCGGGTTATAAGATAGTTGATTGGTACGCACTAGCGTGCACAGGAATCTTGTTAAGGAGGGGCAATTTTTTTCTTTCTTTGGTGAATTTAATCTAGGGATGGGGAGTACTCCAAAGTACGTCGTAGATGATGCTGTCCTCCTCCCACTTTTTCCCAACTGTTCAATTTAGCTAATTTTATTTATTTTTTGCTCCGGTGGTGGTTCATCTTCTTCAATGCAAACTGCTTTCAGACAGTCAATGAAAATTGGCAATTTAATCCCATTGACGATGTCGATGATGATCGGTTCGTCAAATGGTTGCGATAGTAGGGCTTTATCCGAAATTATACACTTGCTGCGATGTTGTTGCCTTGGTGGTTGAATTCAGCTGAAGTCACGTCAGATGGTGGTGATAGCATCGACAAACCGAGATGAATGACCAATAAGAATCGCATTTTCCTTTCGCACGCACACTGCGTTGACAAGTACGAGGTTCAAATAGTGCACATGGCAGTGAACAAACAGCATATTGCTCGTGATCAATCCAATCTTGATCAGTGATATTGAGTGCTTGGCACTGATGAAGTCTGCAAGTAGTAGACGAAATACGCGCATCTGTCAAAAAATAAGCAATTATAACGGAATTAAAAGGAAATAAACCAACACACTCAAAGCTGTTCATTGAAATTTTCAGAGATGATTCTTAGACGATTTTTTAGTAAGACAACAATCGATCAAGGTTCAATGGCAAACTAATACCCACTTTTCAATTAGGGAATCCAAAAGCTTTTTTTAGAACTCTATGAGCTCTTTTGAAATTCTTCTCATAAGTCCTCTGGAATTATTTTTAAAACTCTCCTTGACTTTTACTCAGAACATCTTGGAACTGAAATTCCCTTAGAGTTTCAGAAGAATTTCCCCAGTATTATCCAGAAATTTCTCCCGGTATGAGCTAGAAATTATCGGTACTCCCTTGAAATTTTCCTCAAAATCCTTTTGGAATTTCACTCAAAATTTAATTTTCTCGGTATTCTTTTCGGAATTAGCTTGGAACTATAACAGGATTCACTAGAAATTATTTGCAGAATTTTCTTGGAATACTCCCCAGAAATTCTTTAGGGCTGTCCTCAGAATTCAATTTCCTGGAGGATCTTCACGGATTTTTTTAGAACTCTCCTAAGAGCTCTTTTGAAATTCTTCTCAGAAGTCCACTGGAATTATATTTAGAACTCTTTATGTTTTTTTTTTTCTCAGAACACCTTGGAACCGAATGCGCTAGAAAATTTCCTCGGAATTCGATTGAAATTTTGCTTAAAATCCCTTTGGAATTCCACTCAAAATTTGATTTTCTCGGTATTCTTTTCGAAATTATCTTGAAACTATCTGCAGGATGCACTAGAAATTATCCGCATAATTTTCTTTGAATTCTCTCCAGAAATATTTGGAACTGTCCTAGGAATTCAATATCATTGAGGTTCTTCTCGGAATATTTTAGAACTTTTTTTTTTCTCAGAACACCTTTGAACTGAAATAAAGTTGCAGAGGAATTTCCTCTGTATTCTCCAGAATTTTTTTTCCAAAATGAGCTTGAAATTATTCTCAGAATTCCCCAACATCGCTTTGGAATTTCATTCAAAATTTGATTCTCCCGGTATTCTCTTCGAAATTATCTTGGAACTATCTGAAGGATTCACTAGAAACTATTCGCAGAATTTTCGTTTCCAGAAATCATTTCTTTTGGAACTTGTCTTCAGAATTCAATGCCCTTGAGGTTCTTTTCGGAAGTCAAGTTTAAGTTGTACGTCCATTCACCAAAACGTTGTAGTTTTTCTACCAGAAATGTTCAATAAAGCTTGCCCCTCCATTCACCAGAACTGTGCAATTTTTACATCAGGAATCTTCAATTCAGCTAGCGTCTCCATGCAGCAGATTGTTGCAAATCTTGCACCAGAAATTTTCAATATAACTTGCCCCAGAAAATTTTACACCAGAAAATTTCAATTGACCAGAACGATGCAAATTTTCCACCGTTAATGTTCAAGAAAAAATGTTCTCCAATCTTCTGATTGGTGCAGATATCCTTTTTCCATTTTCCACCAGACATGTTCAATATAGCTTGCTTCTCCTATCATCAGAATGTTGCAGGTTTTCCACCAAATAAAGCTTGTCCCTATTTTCAGATTATTCAGCATAAATTTTCAGTAAAGCAGCTTCCCTCCAATCATCAGATTGGTGCAAATTTTACACCAGAAATTATTATTAAAGTTTGTTCCTCTATTGAGCAAAAGGATGCAAATTTGAGACCAAACATTTTCCAAAAAGCTTGCCCATCCGTTCACCAGAACGGTGCAGATTTTCCTCCAGAAGTTTTCAATACAGCTTAATTTAAATAAAACTAGTGCCTTCATTTACCAGACCAGTGCAAGTTTTCCACCAGAAATTTTCTGTTTATTTCATTTATCAGAGCGATACAAATGTTGCACCAGAAATTTTCAATAAAGCATGTTCCTCCATTCACCAGAACGGTGCACCAAAAATTGTCAGAGAAGTTTGTTTCGCCATGCACCTTTGTGGTGCAATTTACAGGCGTTGCCTCTTCATGCAAATTATCCCCCATAAATTTTCAATGAAGCTTGCATTTATCAGAACGATGCAAATTATGCACTAGAAACATGAAAAAACCTTGCTTCTACATTCATCACAGTGTTGCGAACGTTCCTCCAGAAAATTTTCAGTTAAATGTGCACCTACAAATTTTTTGCGTGGTTGAATTTTTCCACCAGAATTATTCATTGATGATATTTTTACACCAGAACTATTAAATAAAAAGCTTTTTCTATGATTTACCACCACGAAGGTTAATTTTTTTAACCTTGAATTTACCCTCTTCTTTTAACTCTCCATGAACCACCTTTAAAAAAAATTTACTCCAGAAAGTTTTTGTATGCGCCACTGGGGTGCAATTTTTTGACCAAAAAATTTCATTGAAGTTTGTCCCTTCATGCACCTTTGTGGTGCAATTTTCAGCCACCATCTCAAAGGAATTGACACAATAAAAGATTTTCAGTGCCCTTATAGTATGAAATCAAGACCAACAATTGAAAAGGCCTCAACTCCATTTTGTAAACAAACCTTGTAAGGGCATTTTGTCGCAAACCAAAGTCCGCCAAGGCAAACCAACAAAATGAACAGGTAGGGGAAATTCTCATCTACCCGATTGTGTTTTAGGTTTGCGAATGTAGATTTCGGTTCGCGAGAAAATGGCCTTACAAGGTTTGTTTACAAAATGGAGTTGTGGCCTTTTCAATTATTGGTCTTGAAATGAAGTTATTTACCTTCAAATCAAGTTATCAAGAAATCAAGTTGTTTTATATCATAATTTGGAAATGTGGAAATAAACATCTTATTTATCAAAGGAGGGGCAATTTCCCCACCTTGCCCTACCCTGTGCCGGTCAGTGTAGGGTACGTGTCCTACATTATTAAGTCACTTGTGCTTAGTTTTGATTTACTACTGTTCAATGGACGCCATGCGCTTATCTAAAACCTATATGTTATTATAAGAGTGTTTGTCATCTCACTTCAGCTTCAAGAAGGCCTTCGTGTTATTTTTACACTCAAGTCAATGATCTTAAAACTGATATAAATTGGAATAGAACTGACATGCAGCGATTAAAAAATTACCCCCACAACTATATCAAATGTTATGCTGAAATTTTAATAATTGGCAGGATTGTTCTGGTAGCAGCTAAATGAAGGCAACATTATGTTGGAGCATATTTCATCCAAAATGTCAAACAGTATTGTGTGTGTGAACTCTCTCTACAATGATCGCATTCATGATCATTGTAGACAGCTTTAGTTCGGGAATTAGAAGGTGATAGCTCTATTGCAGATACAGCATCCCATTTCAGAATGTCTGGAGAGTCACGCCCATTTCGAGGCTACTTTCACTTACAATAAGCCCCGCATGTATGTAATACCTCTATCAATTACATATTCTTTTCAAACCTAGCGCGTATTTAGTTTAATTTTGATGTTTAATTTATAAATAATAAGAGGCTCGGTCTCACCATGTTCTGCTGGTCTGCCGCCATTGATTGCTTCTTTTGGAATCCCTTGTATTTTTTCTCTAACGCTTCGTATTTCATTCCGCACTTCACCGGCAATTTCCTTCCGTAGATCGTCCTTGGTCGGTTCTGACATGATTCCGCCTTTTCCGGGTTTTTCTTGTTTTCCTAGGGAGATAAATCCACACTAATCTCCGTACCTGGTTCGATGTTGACTCCTTCCTCGCTGGTTGGTGTGGTCGATCTCATGTCCACCATCTGTTACTGTATTGCCATGGTCATCTGACATAAGGCTCGCGTCTTAAGTCGCTGGTCCACCGAGCACTCGGAATGAGTCATTGAATCAATGTAGTATGAGATTGTGTTAAATGCAAAGTGCGAAAAGAGAATGAGTGGAAAACGAAAGGGATTAGTTCCAAGAAATGATAGTTTCATCAGATTCCCCAACTAACCATACTAAATGGTTACTTGGCTACTCATATGGCCGACAGAATGGTTTATCTGTTGCGAAGTGACCAGAAGGTCCCGAAGAAACTTGGCTCAGCTCTGGTACTCTCTTCGGTCCCAAGCTAATCGATGCACCCTCTCAAAACATAGGAAAATCCAGGAACCCCTCATTTCATCTGTCAAACTATCATAGCGAATCAAAACAAACATGGTGTAGAACTAGAATTTCGATTAGAATGGAGTACGTTAATCGATTTGCTTGGGACTGATAGGCTAGTCCACACTCATAAAATAAATCACATAACCAGTGGAAAATATCCATGTGACTTTCACATAACTTTCATGTGATCCCATAATTAGAAATTGCGCCACTAAATCATATGAATTTTATGTGTCCAATGAAATCTATATGATTTCTCATATAGAATTTCTAATGCTATGTGATATTCAGGT